TCCTCAACAGATGGTTGTAGTAAACGCAACCAAGAAGATCGCTTAAAGGAGAAAGAAAAGAATGACGCAGTCATCAAAGAATTAAAAGAAAAGATGGTATCGGTGGAAATTCAGTTCCTTAGCTTGTTCAAGCTGCCTTGATGCAGTTTGGTATAACGGTATGAAACATGTTACAATTCGTACTATTTTTACCTATAGAACTCTTTCTTAATCTTATTGTTGTTAATGTTTAATAGGTTAACAAGACCAACCAAAATGGAGACGAAAGTGACGGAGACAGTAGTGATGAAGAAGAAGAAGGAGAAGGAAAAGGAGGAGAAGAAGATGATGAAATTTTAGAATACGACAGATAATTAAGATTGATATTTTGTTTTTCTTGGAGTTGTTTTCATATTCTTGGATTTCATATTTATCTATTTTATGTTTATCAAATATTGTTCATTTAGAATATTATTACTTATAACATTGAGAGTATTTAATTTTTTAGATTACCTGGTTTTGAATATAGTCTCTCTGTTGCAAATCTACATAGTTCTGACAACCATATTTCATAAAAAATAATTAATCTAGTGAAAGAAACATATCGTTGCTAATAGTATAGTATCTTTTCATCAAACTAATTAAATTAGTGACGGCTACATATCATCGCGAACAATATTTTTTCGACTAACTACCTATTTTGGTGAAAGCTACATATCATCACGAACTGTATTTTTTTGTCAAACCAAATAATTTTGTGACAACTACATATCATCGCTAATAGTATTTTTTCGCCAAGATTTGGCAACGTCGCAAATATTGGAATCCTTATTTGTGATATCCCTCGTTCGACATAAATATAATATTTGTGGCGATGTTCAGTTGTCCCAAAAACCTTTAAACGTCGTCCATAAAAATATATTACAATGAATTTATTAATTATAGAGACAAATATGGATCGTCATAAATAGACAGCGTCGTCAAAAATAAGTATTATCAATGACTTTTTTTTATCATAATGACTATGTCTCGTCAAAAAAACAGACAATGTCGTCAATCTTCATCAATGAGAATTTATTACTGACGAGATTGTTAATTTTCCAGACGATTCTTTGTCATCACAAATACAAAACTGGTTAGTTCGTCAATTTGAATAGGCATTAGAGATGACTCCAACCCGTCGCAAAATAGCTTTTACGATGGCTCGTCAAGTAGAAAGTTTTTGTGACGCCCGTATTTGGAACGATGCGGGATGGCCTCATGGTGTCGCAAAATCCCATTTGCGACGACATTTGGCCTTTATCGACATAGACCTCTGGTCACTAATGACACGCTTTTTTGTAGTGAACATAGAGAATCCGACAATGTCTCCAAAGGTAGGTACCAAATGATCCACCAAATATAACTGCAACTCAGATTTAGTTGATGTGTTATGGTTGATATTAGAAGCATAAAAACTATACAAAAGCCATAGACACTACACTTTGTCTAGCTGAAGTGGCCGATTGAGTTTTATACTCTTCTAAAAGCAGCTATAAATCATCCACAACATTCTTAGATTTTAAAACATATTCTCCACCTAACTTTTACACAAAACTTCACAAAAGCAACTTTATAACGAGGATCCAAAAGCAAGCACCAAATTGTAGTCTTTACAATAGTTCAAGAATTTCGACATCATCGCATTTTCCATATCATGCCTAGGGGTGTTCAAACGGATTGGTTACCGTGGTAACCATATTAACCAGTAGCATTTGGTTAATTTGGTTTGGCTAATTTGGATAATTGGTTTGGTTAAAAAATTTAGCTTATTTGGTTTAGGTGGTTTGGTTTGGTTTCAACACTGCTAACCAATGAAACCAATTAACCAATTAATGATACACCTAATACACAAAATTATTTATAATTCCATGCAACCAACCAAACCAAACTTTCGTGATTTCCTATTTTATTTCCATGTGCACAACAAACCAAAGCATTATGGGTCAAAATCAAATGGGCCTGCCTATTTACTAAACCAAAACATTTTGGACAGCTACTAGACTTTAGGATTACATACAATACCATGACAGCCACCTCAAACTATGTATAGTTTAAGTGTTTTGTAGAAGAGCTTTAACTTCCCGATGAGTGGTATTGAATTGTATTTAATATTTATGTTAAGGGTTTGTTGTAAGCTAACTATATTAGGTGTAGAGATGATGAATGATATATTAACTCGAATGATGATGATAATCATGAATGGTTAGTCTTATTATTATTACTTATATATAATGATAGTTTATGATAGTAATAACATATGGTTATGTTTTATTCATCAACAGGATAATTGTTTTCATATAATGTTATGTTATTTGGTTAATCTGATTAACCAAACCAATTAAACTTTGGTTTGGTTAATTTGATTTTCATTTTAATTTGGACGGTTTGGTTAAGACATTTTATTCCATGGTTAATGAAATTTAGGCTTAATTGGTTTGGTTATTACCACGGTAACCATTTGAACACATCTAATCATGCCTATATCATCCTCTACACTTGTAAAAAGGTGCCTCAACTCAAGATGAATCTTGTAAATATTCTCAAAAAAATAAATAAATTGTTGGGAGCTTAGTTCCAGACTTCCAAAGAATAAGTTCTTGATTTCATCAAATGACTTCAAGAATTTTGCAAGCACTTCCATCTTCTCAAATCTTGAGATGATGAGCATTCCATATACTTATTACCCATCAATTTTAAGTTTACAAATACTTCACATAGTAAATTGCACTCTCAAGCATATCATAAGTTGAATTCCGTCTTGTTGGCACATCAAGCCACAAAGACTTTGTTTGTTTCATCCCACTTTGTTCAACACATTCCTTAAACTTAAATTTCCTTCCTTTGAATCCTTCTACATATTTTACGCTTTCTCTCACAGTTCTAGTGCCATAATAAGATTCAATCCGTCTTGGATAATAATATTCAATTCGTCTTGAATAGTAAGGCCACATCAATTTCAAGGAACTATTGTTTGAAACAATACAATAGTGATCTTAAGTGTGAGACAACTATGTTACATAGACAATTTAGTATATGCATTGAGAGGATCAGTGTTCAAAACTAAATAAGATTGTCATGTTTCAAATAGTCAATTATGTACGACGTATTGAAAACTTAAGTTCTAGGTAGTCAGTTAAATAACGTTTTATGCAAATTATATTTGAATCTCTTGAAGTTGTACTTAAGTACACCACTTAATTTCATCACTTGAGTGTTTGTGGTAGACTGCTAGTTAATTATTCTCAAATTTCTTTGTGAGTTTTTACTTGTATGTTTTGCGATACACTCTTTAATTTGTGGCTGGAATATTGAATGAAATATTCAAAATGTTAATATCACTATAACTATTAGCTAGTGTACTTTACCAATTACGATTAATTACACGACAAGTTTACAAGTCAAACAAATTGATAAAACACTTTGACAAATTTCATTAACTTTTATAAGTACATATATGAAGTAGAAAGAAATTGGCTAAATTCAAAATTTTCTAAATTAGTTTAATAAAATGTGCAAATTGTGTTAACGAGTAAGAAGTAAGTAACTCGATGCGCTAAAGCCGAAGAGCCCGTAACCAGATCTGCCCGCTACCTGCCCGACCCACAACCCATCAACTGATGAACCCATAACCCTTGACCCGCAATCTGATGAACCCATAACACGATTAGCTTGCAACCTGAGTAATCCGCAACCCGAATGACTAGAAACTCGATAAACCCGCAATCCCCGCAACCCGACTATTCTGCAACCCGATTGAACCTAGCTCAAACACGCCCAATCGACACCTCTAACTCGTAGGCTACTAGCCTACCTCTAACAAGTATGAATTGGGTGGCTTTATTTTCAAAACATCGCTCTTATTATCAAGCAGAAGGGAGTCATATGTAGGGGTGTGCAATTGCTCAGTCCATACTAACTCGCACTAGACCAATCCAATATTTGGACCGAAGCATACTTAACTAAATATAATATGTTCCGGTTCTTGGTTCGCATGGGTTTTAGAAATACTGAAGAAAAATGAAAATAGTTGACATTTGGACCAGACCAAACCGGAACAAATCAAACCAAATGCAATGTTGGTCAGGTCCTAAAACGTTTGCACTATTAGACCGCGATTGTCATGAATTTGATATTGTTTGAACCGGAGGAAACCATTGCACTCTCCTAATTATATGGCCATTGTTGTGTTCTTTATTTTCAAAACATCACTCTTCTTCTTATCAAGGAGAAGGGGGTCAGATGGCCTTTGTTAATATAGAACCCTAGGAACAAAGAAACACTCTTTTATTAATATCAAATGGGTCATCCTACTATGACTCTAAACTACAAATCAAACACAAAATGATAATAACATAAATGAAGCAATTGAATTATAACTAAGTGGCGAGGCCACTTAAGGCAAAAACAGGTCATATGCATCACCATGACCCCAAAAACGTAGTAGTAAAATTTTTTTATGTGATTGTGGATGAATATAAGATCATCGTATTATTGGAGTTGGTCTTAGAAAGCAGAAACTATATGATTTTGGTACGATCCAAATACCACATAGGGAATGCATATGCATATGGTCAATCCTTGTTTTATACATTAGTGTCCACTGAGCTCCATTACTAAGAAACCTTTTGGCAAAAATTCCAAAAGTAAATCAGTGCGAATTTGATTAAATGCGGACAATATCATACTAATGAAATTAATGGGCGAAGTTGAAATAATCTACCAAATAATTTGACTGGTACATCTAATAGTCTCCCTCGTGCGTGTGACAGATTGACTGTAAGCATGGACTAACAATTAAAAATCTGGAGCCACGTATATGACTCTGTAAACAACTTGAGAATTGATCTTGTCAAACTAGCTAGTGCGTTAATGGAGGTTGTTGAGCATACATAAGTATAACTACTCTATTCATGAGGATATAGTTTCAAAATCGTACCATCTTTGGCTCCTTATATAGATTTCCATCCATACCATATAATATATATCCATCCACCGTGGTTATACATATAATTAAGCATGTGCGGCATGATGGCTTTCAAGAGAATCTCCATTAGCAGCAGTAGGAATGCTTGGCTTCTGATCCTCTTGGTTTCTACCCTTCTGTTAGCTAATAATTCACATCATCATCAAGTAGTTGCAGCACGGCCAATCTTGGGTAGGGTTTCTTCTTCATCCATGCATGACCATCGTTCCCGTAAGTTATGTGTTCGATCTTTTTCTCTTTGGTGTTTATTTTTTCTGTAAGCATGCAATGAGATTCAAGTTTACGAAATGAGATTTTTCGAGTTTCAGAGGGAAGGCTTGAAGAGCGGCTGATGATGAAGAGTAAGACTCACACTGCTAGGATTCTGAGGGTGTTTTCACGCAGCGATGACCCTCATAAGGGGAACTATGGATCTCCCATTCCCAAACGCTAAATCGACGTCAGAGTATCGCTGCCTGCCACTCATATGAATGAAACAAGATGGAGACTGGAGAGTGTTTTGTCCGGCCGGTTCTAGAAAAGAGGATGACGTTTCCTCTTAGTTTCAGTTGTAGTTGCAATAGGACGTACCCTCTCAGTTAGGGTTTATAAACCTTACGATGATGATGAATAACTTTTATCTTGTGTTTCCTTTTATTTATGCATAGATTCTATTTCTAGGTATACCGAAATATTTATTTTGTTCTGAGTTGGATTTGTGTTATTGGAATAATGAGAAAACATACATGTATGTGAATGACTATACATTTGGACAAAGTTTCTTCTCTCGTACTGGGATATCCCATCATTTACGAGTAAATGCTTCTTTTTATGTAATCCTACGAATTATCTTTGTATATTCGTTCATGGCAAAATTTGGTTGCTGGCAAAATTTGGTCGGCTCAGGAAGCAACCGCTCTAGCGGCTCTTTTGGGCTTGGATTCCATTGGTGATCTTGACAAGTATCTAGGTCTCTCCGCTTAGATTCACCGGTCAAAGGTTCAGATATTCCGGTTTCTTGAGGACGGATTAGCCAAAAGGATCCAACATTGGAAGTCTAAATCCCGCAAAAGAGGTGGTGATCAAAGCGGTTGGATCAGCAACTTCGGTTTATGCGATGCTTTCTTTCCGCCTTCCGACCACCTCCTGTCGTCGTATGAATGGCCAGCTCTCGCAGTATTGGTGGGCCAGCCAAGACAAGGTCAAAGGTATTCATTGGCTTTCATGGCCAGCCATTTGTGTGAGTAAGTTTCGAGGAGGCCTTGGATTCCGGGACTTCGATCTCTTTAATATTGCTATGCTAGCAAAACAGGCCTGGAAGCTGCTGCTGGCCCCGACTTCTACATTGGCTAGAATGTACAAGGCTCGCTACCATCCCCATTGTGACTTTCTCCATACTACAACAGGTTCTCGTCCATCCTGGGCTTGGCAAGGTGTATTAGCTGGTCGAGAGTTGCTTCTTAAAGGGCTTCGGTGGCAGGTTGGGTGTGGCACTGCCATCCGGATCCTTGAAGACCCTTGGTTGCCTACTTCTCCACCTTCCTCTCCGTCCCTACTACCCGGGGTCCATCTCCCCAGTCTGTATGTGGCATCTCTCATCGATCCTTTGACGCGACAGTGGAATATACAGTTGCTTCAGTCATATTTTACTCTTGCCAGTGTACATTCGATTCTCTCTATCCCTATTCCTCTCACTCCCAGGCCTGACAGGTATATTTGGCATTATTCCAAGACAGGGCAGTATTCTGTCAAGTCGGGGTATCACCTCCTCTCGGATGTTCGTTCTGAGTTGTTCAACACTCTTCCACCTCATTTGGATGCTCGGTTCTGGAAATGGCTTTGGAGCTTACCTGTTCCTCCTAAACTGAAGTTTTTCTTATGGAGGGTTGTTCGGGGTTTCTTACCATGCTTGGCAGTGCTACATACCAAAAATCTTAGCGACTCTAATGTTTGTTCTGTATGTACTGACGGGGTTGAATCTATTTCTCATTGCCTGTTTGATTGTAGAGTGGCGCGTGCAGTATGGAATCTAGCTGGAAAAGATCATGTCCATGTGCTTCTCTCAGGTATGACGCCTGATTTAGCATGGTATACAATTTTCTTCTATTTGCAGCTCAGCAAGGTAGCCATGGTCGAATTGGTCTTCCTAGCCTGGCGGATTTGGAAGGCTCGATGCTGGTCTTGCTATGACAAGGTCCAGTTCCTCCCTGGCCCTCTTTTCCGCCAATTTTTACATCAAAAGGAGGAATGGATAGCAGCCACTTCTCCTCCATCTTCACATGGATGTCGTTTGGCTCGGCCGCCTATCTCCTCTCCTTGGCCATCCTGTCCTCCGGGTGGTCTAGTCGTTCGTTTTGATGGAGCGACTAGGCGGGAGGTCGGTGGCAGTATTTGACCCTTTTGTGTTGGAACTCTTAGCGTTACGAGATGCGATGGACTGGTGCTTAACTAGGAGTATTTTTTCTGTTTGTTTTTGTGGGGATTCACAATTGGTGATCCGCCGCATGACGGAGGACACGTCTCAGCATAACATTGGCGGAGCAATCCTGGATGAAGTTCGGCTGATGAAAGCATCATTCGCGTCTATCTGTTTTGTTTTTTCTCCTCGTAGAACTAACAGGGCTGCCCATTGCGTGGCGAAAATGGCTCTTGCATCGGCTAATCAGCATTTGGCTGATTTTTGCTATTTATTTTTTATTTAATCTTTTGTAATTCCCTATCTATTACTCTTCTATCTATGGCAAAAAGAAAAAAAAATTTGGCTGCTGGCTGGGTTGCAGCCATCCATTGCTACCCAGCCATGTGGCACTATGTGATTGGTTCAAATTAGTTAATTAATTATTAGTTGAATGTTGGATTTGGACGGAACGGAAAGTTGTATTAGAAGTGTTTTTTTTTACGGGACACGGACACAGAGGAGTTGGCCAACGTCAGGTTAATTCATCTATCTACACAATAAATAAAAGCTAAATGAGAAAACTTGAAGCCCCATTTCAAATTTCCTGCATCCAGAGTGAAAGTAGGAAATACATTTTGGTCTTCACAATTACTTTTTTTTATTCATTAAAAAGACACTTACTAGGATTGGAACCATGACCACTTTAAAAAAAAGCAAAGATCATAACCAATCACACTAAGTACATTTGTTGTATCTTTTTAAATTAAAAACATATAATCGCAGAGAGGAAAAAAACCTTCCCCCATTTCAAATTCCCTGCTCCAAGAGCGTTTGTAGGAAGGGTAGAATAGGGAGTGTCAATTTTTTTCTTTATTCTCTGTGGAACGGGCCAACTTACCGTACACATGCGGATTTAAACGGGTCCAGGAGTGTCATTTTTTTTCTTCTTTAAGTCCTTTTATTTCTCCGTGCTGGTAAAATATATATGAAAAGGCAAAAACGATACTCTTTTTTATTGCTAAAAATAAAAATTTTTAACAATAAACTAATGCATTGTATTTTGAAGTTATTCAATGGTTCAACTTCGACCAACCCAATTAGTACAATTTTATCATTTCAAATATATATTATGTAATTATTTGATATCATAATGATTAAATTATAGTGTATATTATAGGGAATCGTTTGGTATTTGTTAGTAAAAAACTAAACAGAAAGATCTCTTTGGTTATTTTTAACATTAAAACGATTCTAAACATTTTCAGTTTCCTTTCAAAATTCTATAGTTTTATTCCCAAATCAGTGATGTGCAAATGGCGAATTGCAGTCATCTCTTTTCTTTCATTATTTTTTATTTTCAAATAGAAAGTTTAAAATTAAAGAATAATTAGAGTTTGGCATGGGTCGGTCAAACATGCTGAATTTCAAGTTTTGTCCCGTTTTGATCAAGTCTAATTTATAATCACATGGTTCCCTGATACTCGATAAAAATCTCAATCCAAACCAGTTTGGCAGGTGAGTCCGTGTTTACCACCATTTTCTAGGGATATAGGAACGATGGTTCCACCCCAAATCGTGTTGCTCATTCTTGATTTCTTTAGATTTTATCATGGTTTGGCAAAAAACCAGAAAGCACAATGATGACAAGATGAAAGTTTTATAAAGCAAATTAATTGGCCAACGGGCCGAGTAAAAGCTAGCAACGATTGTGAGATGCTCATTTCCCGAAAACCGGCGGGATAGACGATTTTTTATTCGATTTCTGGAATTCAGTTTCTATAAAACTTACTCCACCTCATCATATTACCAGAAACAATATTGTTTCACAAGGTACCAGGTACTTGATTTTGGTTCATAAGGCTGATTTTTGATTCGTTGCATCATTCATGTCTCTTTCCTACTAAAATTCTCTATTTTTATCACGTATTTCCAAAAAAAAAAAGTATACAACAATAAGCTATACACCCCATTACATTATCAAATTTCATACCTCATTTTTCTCTGGTCAAATGGCCGGGGCCACGCTAGTTTGCTTTATATTTTGTTTTATTTATATTTGTGTAATCAATTTTTATCAATTAAAGTGGGGAAATTTTCAAAAAGGTATTTTTTCTTTAGTTTTTTTTGCCGGCATCCTCAGCTTTGATTATAAAGTTTCATCATAGCTCCTTAAAGTCATGTTACGTTTCTTTTATCTTTTTAGATTTCACTTTTATACATGAATTTAATTTTTATTTGTCGACTATCATATCTGGTTCTGCAATTTGATTTACGCTACCTGATGTTGTTATTATTACGCTATCTTTGAGAAAAAGAGAAATAATATATTACGTAGAGTAACACATCACATTCTATCTACAAAGAAGTTTAGATAGATAGAATCAGAATCTAAAACTAATCTGACTAAAACATGATGGCTTTCCTTTCATATGAGATGATTTTGTTATTAGTGTACAGAGAAATCACCACAATCAGTATTATATGAAGCATGAGACTTTAAGTCACTATTCAGGACAAGGCATCCCAATGAATTAAATCACTAATTCTAGGAAATTCTCAGAGCATAATATCAAATAAATTAAGTCTAGCTAGTAGAGTAACAAAAGGCATCCCAATGAATTGTACCAAAAAATGCTAATATGAAATTCATCTACGCTAAATGCCAAAGGAAATTATGTCAAAATATCTCTTCCACATAAAATCCTACTAAAGAACTAAGAAAAACAAATTTGCCACTATTCAGGACCGTGTCTGTGTGGATTTGTTATGGCATCCTGCAAAATAAATTAAGATAGAATTATATTAGTCTAGAGATTTTTAATAGAATCAAACTAAATATATATATAATCAAATCGATTTATAACAATTGTGTCAATGATATATTTCTTATAGTAAGTGTAGAATCAAACTTATCTCCAGCTGAACTAATAACCGAACATCTATCTATCTATCTATCTATCTATCTATCTATATCTATACTATATATTATGGCAATTCAAAAGTAATTTCTTGCCACATAAGCACTTGGAGAAATAACAAGTTGCCTAGGCGAACATTTTTGTAATAACAAAAAACTTTATTATTCATATATTTATGAAGCTATCTCTTTCTTCATATACTACTTATGCTCACTTTTACTCAACATTAATAATAAGTTACATTGAGAATGTAAATAAAAACAAGCATAAATAAGAATATTTTTTTCAATTAATTTTTTTTTCAATTAAACAAAAAATCAAGTAAATTATCTACTCATTTTAACCAAAATTTAATTATACGTTAAATTTTGATGAAAAATTTAAAGAAGTACACACATAAATAATAATATCTTTGTCTACTAAATAAAATATAAAGACACAAAAAGACAAATCAAGCATTTGACAATCAATCGAATTTGAAAAATAAAATATATGAATTTATATATTAAACCTTTTCTTCTTTATAATATATATGTCAACAAATTAAAATAATTGTTATGTAAATATTTATTTTATTTAATAAAATAATTTTCAGAATATAACTTGATCGAGCAATAATAATTATTTCCCAAAAACATTTCTATTCATCCCGATTAAGTGAAGAAATATATTCATATTCTACCTGAAATTTCTGAAATGAAGAGTAATCACATGTTCAATATTTTATAATTTGTTTTAAGTTAACATTAAAATATTTAATTTTGATGATTTTGGTTGAGCAAGCTCAATTGAGTCCATAAATAGTATGCTAATAAGTTTTCTTTTAAGATTTAGAGTTATTGTCGAGGATTATACATCAAAGTTTTCAAAATGACTTAAGTATGAGTTTTGACGAACTTTGACTTTATACCTTAAGACGAGACACAATATACCTTAAAAAATTACACGTGTGAATGATAAATGAATCTTTGTTAAGAATATACGATAAACATTACGTTTAATCAATCACTAACCTAGGCATTGATCAAATAAGGATTGACAACTTTCATTTAATAGTTGAATGTCTTTTAGACAAATCAAAATTAGAAGATGGAGAGAATAAATAAATATCAATGGTGTTAGTTGAGATATCTAAACAATAAACTCTTATAGTTACAAGAATCAAAATCAAGATATTGGGTTAAAATGAAAAATCAAGAAACAAAAAACTTTTATAGGTTAATAATCAATTGTAATAAGTCATTTGGTTATATGGTGTGAGACTATAACTCCATGCCAACTTTTGATAATAATAAAAACATTTTCAATATCAAAGTATCTAATAGGAATTTTCTATTTTGTAACGATAAACAAGTTGTCTTTACAATAAATTTGTCTACAATACATCCAAGAATATCAAATATATGTCAAATGTCATAATATTTGTTTGAATTCTTAAAGTTTATAAAAAATTTCAAAAAATTATAAATAATCATTACTTAATATTATAGAAATTTGAAACTAAATTAGCGTCACATCAACGAATGGCTAGCTCTCATCCTTCCATAGTGGACAAGTTCTAATTCTTGCTTATGTATATTTTTTTCTCTTTAAATTGTGATCAATATAAATAAAACCTAAATTAAGTTAATAACATAGATCCAACATTTTGGTTTGTTCCTATCCCTTTTCTTATACAAATTCTCTCTATAAAAATAAATCTCAACAATGAAAATAAAAAAATAAAGAAATTGGATCAAGCCCCATAAAAACAAACAAACCTCTCTTCTTATTTGCTCAAAATCATGAGTTTCTAGCATTTATTTTCTCTATTATTTTTCAAACCATTACAGGAAAAGAAAGAGTATGACATATTGAGTTTTTACTATTTGTAAGATTAAAACATAGCAGAGGGTTATAACTAGAAGGGAACACATGTGAGATTTTATTGTTTGTTTCAATTTTTCTACACATTTGCAATGACATTTGTTTGTTTCCTTATTGTGAAATTTTTCCTAATTGAATCTCAAACTTGATTTTGACCTGATCGTTTTCTTGACAAGAATTATTTGGATTGATGCATCAACCGTGTTCCTGAATGATGATATTATAAAATACAATGAGTTGAGTTTTATTGAAGTATTCAACTTTTACAATTCGTCTATTTTGTATTACTTATTAGGTAAAAAAATGCACAATTGGTTTTTTGAAGGGGTATGTAGCTCTCTACAAATATAAATTGTTTTTATATGCAGTTTAGTTTGCTGAAAATATCATTTTGATAAATTAGTGACAACTGATAGTTCTATTCCTGGTTGGTTTTGCTAGAATATTTTAAAAATAAATTAAATGAATAAGCAGAAGATTGATGATGTGGATGATAATGTGTTTCCTCACCAAAATTGCACAAGTAAATGATACTGCACAATGTTCGTGGGATTTACAGCACGATATTATGTATTATCATATACCAACATACAAGAAAGGAGAAGAAATGGAAAACTCTATGTTTATTATTTTTAAATAATTGAAATATATTTGCTTGTTTTATTTTTTA